TTGCGTGTGTAAATATGCTAAGATACATTATGTACACTTGTAGTTCTGTAAGGATCTGCTAATGAATACATCTACTAATTCACATAACCACAATCACTGAGGCAGAGAATAAAAACAGTGACGCAGAGTATTGTGCTTGAAATAATCCAAATAAAGGGTTTTCCAATAAGAGCGATATAATTTTTCAAACGGTTTATATTTAATGTACAATCGATACAATTAATTTCTGAATATAGCACGACTTCTTTTGCTGGAACGAATTCGATGAACCCAATTTTCGAGTATTTTTCCAAAAAAAATGTACGCTCGAAATTTTAAATAATTCGAGGAGTAGCGAGTATATTTAGACGATTATTATGACCATAAAATGTCAAAAGCACCCGAAAAGTTGCAATTGGAGAACGATTATTTTGATAATAAAATTAAATAATTTGGAAATGTTGTTCTTGCGTATATTTTTCCATGGTGAAATTGTAAACATTACTGAATATAATGAAAAAAGCTGCAGATCATGACATATTAAAAATGCCCTAAACGACACTTAGAAATCATATCATCCCTAATAGAAAAAGCTTTATTATTCCAACCAAATAAATTTACATGCAAATTAATGTATAAACAGTTCAGGCATGAAATTCTCACATTCAAATACACTAGGGTGTCCGTTATTTCCCAAATGGATCCAACGTAAACTAATTCTTTATTTTCAATTTGAACCGTTGCGAAATAGTTTTATTTCTCCCAGGCATTATAGTTTCCTACTGCTCTCTTCAACAGCAGAAACCGCAAATAATAAATTGCACACTATTTGTTGATATAATAATTTAATACATACAAAAAAGCAGATAAAAGTACTCAAAAAACTTCCTCATATTTTTATGAGAATCTAAATTTTTTAAAAAGACTAAAAGTAGTTCCCTTGTTGTCCCGAATTGGCACTTTTGATCAGATATAAATTCAGTTCCTTTTTGGTTATGTAAGTCCAACTGTTGCGGGCTTGCTACCTAGGTTTGTGGTATATTATTATGGGTCCACTTGGAGTTCAATTTTAAGCAGTTGTGCTTCTCGCTTTTTGTTCATATTCACAGAAAGAAGGTATTTTTATTTCTACATCGACATAAGTATGTATAATTTTTTTTTGGAAAAATGCCACTAGTTTAGATTCGGCAACTTCCAAACCAGGGTGTTGCTTTTAAAAATACGTTCCAATTTGTATTAGTTTCTGGATAAATTACTCTGTACAGCTTGATCTACAGAAAACATTTCACGAAGAATATGAAGCCCCCAAGTTGCAGAAGTCTCACCAAATAGCAGTAAGCGGCAAACAAACGTCCTAAAAGTGGTTCTTCTAACTTTTTCTAACTCTTTCGAAATGTGTAATACTTAAACACACGAACAATTTTCAGAGTCAATGTATCCTTATGCTCTTTTAAGCTGTTGATTTAATGGAGTTATTTATGCGACTCCAGGCTATGCTTCTTCTAATTTATATGTCAGCATAAATATGTTTTGTGCGCACAAGCAAATGAATATATGGTGGCAGGGTTGTATAGGTATTTATGTATGTACATATGTTAATGTTTATATAATGCTGATGTAATGACAGGAAAAACATACTAAGTGCATTATTAACGAAAACGAGATATAAGTATAAAATCAAGAAATTGTTTTTTTTTCAAATTATTTTTTAAGAAACTGTTTTACTTTTTAAAATTTTCTAAATATAATTGTATTTAATAAAAATTCAATAAAAAACTAATTAAAGTCTATTAGGCAGATAATTAAACTCTGGCTCTTCGAATTATTTAGTTAGATACATGTTTGCTTCTTCTACCAAACTGAACCTCTCTCCGAATTCCGACAACTATAACAACTGATGGAAATTGACTTATTTGCTTTTATTTATTATCTCATAACATACATACTGATATACAATACATAACATAGTTTGGCTTAAAATACCTTAAAGATACATATAGTACTTAGGATAAGTGCTACACATGTGCAGTAATGTGGTAAGTTTCTATGTTTATGCGCTGCTCTAACGTAATAAGCCATAAAATCTTAACTTGTACTTAAGTAAGCTTCTTTATGTGAAATTCTCTTGGCTTTATTCTATAAAGGAAAAGTGTTTTGGGGCGTTTTAAGCACTATTAATATTATTTAGCGTGATGTAATTCTGTATTATTATAGCTTGTACTATCTATTAATATAACATTAGTTCACTTTACTTTACTCAACTTTTAAATCTCGAAATGAAGAAAGTAATTGAGGAAGATTAGAACATTTGGAAACCCAAATTAAATAAAACCCAAAGCCTAAGTACAAACAACTATAGATAATATAAAGGATTCCTGATGAAACGACTGAACAGCAGCTCTGTCAATTTTTCTATCTAGTATACCGCCAATTGTTCAGCGAAAATCTTTTATGAGTTGTTGAGAAACAATAAAAGACGACAATTGATATATTTTAGTAGTCATCTAATATCAAATAAATGATTTTGAAGCCCAAGGCGTCCCTAATAGTATAGTATTAAGAATTACAAATATTTTAGTATCTATTCAATAGAAACTGATTCCGTATTTCATATTTTTCAACTTCCTCAAAAATATTCTTAGTCGCTCTCGACTTAACGAGTCTTAGTGAGCTATATTTCAGCACCACACTCTTCAAAAGAATTGACGAGGGAAAATAAAACTATACAAATGTATTCAACGCAGAATCAAACATAACATATAAAAGTAGTATAACTTTTATCTCTATTTTATTGTAAGCCTTTTTGCATATAAAGTCGTTGGTCGTTAGCTTCGCCACATCGCTGATCCCTATGTTTAGAACCACCAAAAGCACAATAACTCACTAAATAACTACGACCGAAGCATTAAATTGCACATAATATGGTATGAAAAGGCTTCATAAGAACCGATATTAAAATTTGATAATGGGCGTGGCACCGCCTACCTTTAGATGAATTCTCATATCTCAGGAGCTATTCAACAAATTTTAACCAATTTCAGAGTGTATCATTGTCCGCACATTCCTAGATTAAGCTGTGAAAATTGGCGAAATCAGACTAAAATCACTCCTACTTCTCATATATAATAATTTTAAATTCAATCAGACTCTTTCATTTTAAAGTTAACAAATTGAAATTCAATCATGTTATTGTAATAATAGTTTTCAAAATAGTGCCTCTTGGGTATCTATCTCGCGTCTAAAAATTGTCGAAATCGAAGTATAACCTTTCCTTACCGCATATCTGCACCCCGTTGTATATAGCTGACTTTTATCGGCAAATCTGTAAGGTCTAGTAGTGTATAATTCGGAGAGAATATTTGTATGATAACCCTTGTACCAAAAATGGGCACAATCGGAACAATACGTTCCTTAGCCCCATGTACCTAATATAAAGATTTTTGAACACCCGGTTAACTTCACACCGCATATATCAAAAAAAATGTAAGATATCTGAATAAAATTCGGAATGAATCTCTTTCTAATAACAGTGTGTCCTAGAGCCTAAACTTCCCCGGATTCATCATGCGAGGTATGAGTACCTTCACCTTCGGAACGGACGGATTGCAACTACTGTCCCCTATTTCCAGAACGGCACTCTCCCAAAGACCTTAAAGCTTCAAAACCACTTCCTATACCTATAACCGTTAGGGGTCGTCTTTACATTTTAGAATGTTTACCCCGTTAAACCAGCCCGCACCATCGAAAGTTAGCATAGACATGACTGAGTCTCTATCCAATCCTGCGAAGCGCACATAAAGCAGTTTCAGCTCCACCGCTTTCCATTTCTCTCGAGTTATGGTATTTGCCAAGGGAGTTGAGTGCCACGGATGAATACTTCTTGACTATATCGCTGACCGTCGCTGCCGCCCTGAACGTTGGGGGTTTCTCCCCGAGCCTGACGTCTGGCTTTACAGCGTCGTCTATTTCCTCGGTCGTTTCCGGCACACTGTTTTGCTTCCAGTGGACAGTTGTATTTTGGCTGCAACTCCTCCTCGATCCGGTTTGCGAATCTCGCAACTGGGGATATGAATTGCGGCCGGAAATCGTAGTACAAGCGAACGTTTCCTCTTCCTCCTACGCCCGGTTGAACTTTTAGTTTCGTCGAATATGCCTATGCCTATGATCTTTCCAAATTGCAAGGTTTCACCCGAACTTAACCTGTCCTTACTGGTTGTTGATTTGAGTTTTTTAAACTAATGGCAACACTTTTCAACAATACCTCTATGGAAAACTTTTTTAATTCTTTTAAATTAGATGCTCACATATAAATAATTTTTCTATCTCTACAAATCATAATTTATTTCTCTTAATTTCCTATTCTCGTGATTTTTATACCCTGAAGAGGGTAATATTAAGAAAAAATCGTCGATGACCCTATAATGTACTACATAAATGATTGGCGTAAGAAGCTGACTCAATTCATTCAGTACCATCTGTAGATACGCGAACTATTCCCTTAAGCTGCTAATTTTTCCGAACCGCCGATATCGGACTACTTTGGCATATAGCTCCCACACAAAGAGCTTTACTTTAAGCTATCGATGACAAATATAGTGACACCTGTAAAAACTATAAAAATAACTTAAATTTTCATATGAATTTACCATACCACCATAAGTAAGCACCACACTAACGCTTTCCAATAACACACACATACATACGTGGCTATTTCTTTACCGCTTATTGTGTATTTGCGGTCACTCTTATGTGGACTTTTGTTTTTATTTATGCAACACACTACTTCTAAACGCACTTATGGCCACACAAGCAAACCTCTGCAAATGTGTAAATGTGTATGTGAATACAATATTTTTCGCAATAAAACTCACTCTACACTCGTATTCATATTGTCTAAGCTAAGCGTATTTTGAGCGTGTGTACATATATACCTACCGACATTGATACATATTTATTTGTTTGCTTATTTATTATATATTTGGTATGTGTGTGTTTTCTATCAAGTTATGTATACTTTTCAGGTTGCATGGATTAAATCCGACTCGAAGGCAATACTCGGCATTCACACCCATATGGTGTCACTTAATCCCAGATTATCAGTGACACACAATGGGCACAACACCTGGAAACTTCACATATCCCACGTACAGCTCAACGATTCAGGCAGCTACATGTGCCAGGTGAACACAGATCCCATGAAGAGTCTGGTAAGTAAACTCACCTAAAACCTCAACCTAAACTAAATGAAACTGACCGGTAGTGAACCAAGTAAATGGGTAGATAATAAAGGTATTACTTTGTGTGGAATGAAGGACTTAGTTGGTGGCAGGATGCTGCAACATGCAGCAGTACCAACTGGACACAACTAAGTCAGCGGCTGAGACAGCGTGTAGCTATGCTTTGGGAATTGAGTAACTTAAGCCGTTAAGTCACACATACCACAGTATATGAGCATATGCTCAGCTGCTGGCTGCTGGCAATCCCAAACACGTTTTTATATATTACTAAACATATGTGTGTGCTTGTGTATATGTGCGCGCATAATTCTAGGTGTGACCTGTAATTTAAAGTGCAAGGCATCTCTGCTTTATCCACTGAACTTTAACATTTCGTTACAACTGCCAATGTTATTTAAGCTTAGCTGGTTGCTGGTAGCTGGTAAACAAGAGCAACAACTTCAACGCAATTCACACACCAGCTAGCTTAGGTAGCTTTACAGCATTTTTTACACCGAGGATACCGTGAGTACACTTCCATTTGTTATGCGAAAAGCTTCAATATATGCCACTAAGTAGCTCATGTCCACTTAAACGATTGCCAGGTGTTCGAATGCTGTTATATCTACTACCCTAAGCCTTAAGGTCTCTCAGTGACGCCCTGGCGTATGAGCAACAATATTTGTGCTAAGAAAGAAAAAAATGCAAGCATGGCAACGCCATCGTCAAATACTCAACTAATCCATAAATATACATTAATATGATATGTTTATAATAATTCTTAAGTACCACCTAGCATACACTAACATACAAACAAACGGATATATATTATAAATATATATGTATGCATGTTCCAGCTCAACTATGCAAGTGCGCTGCCGCAACCAGTCAACCCTATCGCATATTTCTACGTTCATGCTTCAGTAATCGGTCTCGGAAGCCATGCCTAAGCAATGCTGACTGAAATAATAATACAGTTAGTGATAATATTTGCGGTCATTTGAACTTATAGATGATCAAAAGGTGACGACTACACATATTAGCGCACATATGTATAGTATATACATACATAGCTAATAATATATATACATATATACACAAATACAAATATATACATAAATTTATACCCACTTTCAAACACATACATGCAAATATACACATAACTACAGCATCTGAATGTCAGGCGTTAAAGCCATACATGAGTTATCTAATAGCTCAAAGCATACGCTGAAGTGTAGAAAAAGGGTAAAATGTTAGCCGAGTAACACAATGCAAACATTTGTACATTTATATATATTTCTTCAAACCACATACTCTTGTATAATATGTGCGAAGTACTTGTCCTCTTCACACATACACGCTCAAAGTGTGCTACAATAATAATAACGCTGCCGTTGGCTCCACATTATGGCTAGCTCATGAATATTTTTCTCATGGCCACTCTTCGATGCCTTAGATTATTCCAATCAAATATGTGTATATGTATGTATGTGTGCGCATTAATGTGCACAGCTCCGTGCAATTCATGTGGTTATTTGCCTGTGAGTTTACGCAGAATTCAATTATCTATTGATATGGGGGCCCAAATGTTTGTTTGCTATGTATTTGAAATGAATTTTTATTGTCGCATATACATAAATTTGCCTTTGCCATGCTTTTGTGGAGTAATAAAATAATAATTGAAAATTGCATGCGGAAATAAATTATCTACATACGTATTAGTAATTTGTAATCACAAATTTACTTTGAAAAAACAAAGACCAGTAAGCGGTTGTGGGAGTACGAGTATAAGAAGAAAATTTGGTTTATAAAAAGTAGTCAAAAATATCTGCTTTATGTGTAACGCAACGGAATTTTATCACACTCACGGTCTACAAAGCATTACAATAGTGATTAAAGTGTAATAATACATATATCAAGATTTTAATATCATATTTCAATGGTATAAATAAGAAACCTAACAAGAAAAAACTTTAACTTCGGTTGCACCGAAGCCATAACACCCTTCTCTAATACAAGGCTCCTTACAAGAACTTGATTCCGATTGTTCATTTTGTATGGCAGCTATACGTTTTAGTGGTGCGATATCGGCCATTTCGACAAATGAGCAGCTTCTTAGTGAGAAAAGTACAAGTTCAAATTTTTAGATCGATAGCATAAAAACTGAGGGGCTAGTTTGTATATACAGACAGACCGACAGACGGACAGACAGACGGGCATGACTGAATAAACTCAGCTCATCATTTTTGTATACATTTTATAGGGTCTCCGGCGTTTCCTTCTGGGTGTTATAAACTTCGTGGCAAGCTTAATATACCTTGTTCAGGGTATATTGCCACATATTTGCAATTTTTTTAATAAAAAATGTGTTAATTAAGTAAGTAGTGTATTATGGTTATCATACTGAAGTGTTTTAAAAATACTAATGGTTAAAATCAATTTTTGAACTAATATAAATAAATAATAAATTATTTCAGTAAGGACTTCAAACTAAAAAGCTATTTTTTAGTGGAAAATTTGTTAGAGAAAGGTTTCCATTTGTTCGCATTTCTTTAATCTTCTTAATTATCGTACAAGCAGGCTAGCCACCAGTAAACAATTTTTAATTCAATAAAATATCGCACAAATAATTTCCTACACGTACAGTATCAAACTAAGTGAATAAGCTTCAATTAAAAAAATGTTCGAGGTTGCCACTTTTTCAAATTTCTTTATTCTACTGAAATAACTGATTCAAAAGAGGGAAGTCTTAGTCAGACATTGTAAACATTATATTTTGTAGTTGTTGCCACCCATATTATATCTAATGTTCGAAGAAATGTATTTGTTTTTAGATAGGTATATCACCAGGTCCAAATGAAAACTGAACGGTTGGGTCTTTATAGTGTGAGTTTCAATGTCTAATTTGACACAATCAACATAAATTGTCACCACTAAACGACAGACACTTGACCATACTTAAGATGGAAGATTAATGTCTAAATTCAGTTTATATAGTTTGTCTTCTTACTTTTCAGTAACACTTTTTTACAGAATTCCGGTCCAACTAAATCTAGATCATATCGTTATCGTCTAGAGTTCTGACGAAATGAAGTGACTTATCTTTGGACTTCTGACCGAACATTTGAAAATCAGTGGCAAGTTCTTTGTTAAAACAAGATTTAAAATCATAAAATATCTAGCTCTTTGTAGACTATATATTTTTCTTTTTTTATTTAATTATTGTATATTTGCGTCGCTTTGTACGAACTTACAGCCAATTCGATTTTACGTCCACAACCGATGTTTACCATTCTGTTCCATTTCAAATTCATGGAACAAGACTTGGTTTAAATTAATGCAGCTTGAGATCGCTGAAACTTTTATTTATGACTCGAAAAAAATATACATATATATTGGGATCTCACATGTCTGTTTAAGAATTTACCTAGCTTCTCCTCCTATGTTTAGTATTCCAATCTATGGACAGACCGACAAGCTGTAAGGCGGCTTGAAAGGGCTATTCGATTTTTTGAAATTATTTTTTCTGGTAGAAATAACATGAAAGGTTTGGCATTACTTGCCAAGGAAACGCGGTCAGTTCCTGCGTAGTCGCTAACGATCCTTTAGGTTACAACCCAATAGCATAAGATACACATATTGATGGCATACAGCTCTACTAATTCTATGTTAATTTATCATTTAAAGAGTTTTAAGAAAACCTGATATAACTTAATAATAAACCTGATATAATAAAAGGTTTCACATAACTTCAACTTTAATTGATTAATAATATTTTCCGTACAATAAAACTCACAAAGTATGACTATTTAGTATTTTATATTTACATAAAGTTATTCATAACTCTTTTATGTTAATTCCTCAACTGCACCAATCATGTAATGCTTAGTATACTTACGTGTTTATGTGTATGTGTTTTACTTTATTCCACATTCGTTCACATTTTGCACCAATCCTTGCACTTGCCACCATCATCACCACCTGAAGTCTGGCTATTTGGATGTTGTAGTGCCGCCGGATATTCTAAATCATCCGGAACAAAATCTCGAAGAGGGTATCTGTAATGAGGGTGGCACAATTGTGCTCATCTGTAGTGCCACGGGCGTCCCTGAACCGACAGTACAATGGCGACGTGAGGGCGCCAAGGATATAGTTCTACGAACGGAGACAAGAGAGAAACAAGGTAAGAATATGTATGTGTATAAAAATTGAAGGAAATAGCAAAAAGAAAAAACTTTTCAGTCGAGTTGCTAAAATTAGTAAGTGTTTTAATTAATGTATAAAAAATCATAAATAACAATATTTGTAGTTCTTTTACCCAATACAGGTGAGAAAATTACCGATATATGAAATTTTCCTTAGCAAGCATTATCATTATTTAGCGTTCAAAATCGGTTTAAAATACTCATAGCATATAAATATACTTTTGAAAGATATACAGATCAAAGAAAATATCCCTCAAATATTTTTGAAGAATACTGCCCAGCTGGTAGCCAGATAAAACTACGAGACCGTTCTTGTTGTATATACTCAATTTTCGTTGTAACGATTGAAGCCAAGGGTTTTTCTGTACCACAGACTTTCTCGGGAGACTGAAGAAGCATCAAGTTTGAACGTTTTCAAGGGATTCATAAAATATTATTGAATATGTTAATCAAAAATGGTATAACCTTTAAATCTTTTTAAAGCGATGAACCAATACATCATGAGCTTGTTGATAAAAAAAATTCTTAACAAAACTGTGATTTACAACCATAGGCAAATTTCGAAATGTAGGACACATTATATAGAATCTCTCAAAGACATCTTAGCGGTTTAAATATTACTACCTGACCAGTATCAAAACTAATGCATACTAATGCATCTAATGGATAAAAACTTGCCCTATCCCCATATAACTAATATCAGGATTTTCAAACACCCGGTTGCCCTTACTCCTTATATATTGATGATGGTATGTGAGGTATCTAAATATCATTCAGATAGCATTTTTTCCGTTAGCATGTAACATATGTGATAATGCCGAAAATGGATAAAATCGGGTCAATACTACCCTGATCCTAGTGACTGTATGTCTGTCCGTCCGAACAAGCGATAACTTGAGTAAAAATTTAAATATCTTAATGAAATTTAGTTCACGTGTTCCTTGATAAAGAAGTGAGGACGAGTTCGTAGATGAGCGCAACCTTACCACTGCCACGCGCACAAAACGACATTCTTTTCATCTTAAACATTTAACCTTTTTTAAAATTGATGTTAAGCCAAACCCTAAAATAACCGTCACCGTAGAGACCTCTCCAAGCACAAATTGTTTAAATTTGCTCTTTTTTAAGGCTAACATTATATCAGTTCTGCTAACATGAGGGATGAATATAAAATACATATAATTTTGCATCTACTAGATTTATGTAGTACCTAGTATTTAAAGGTCGAACTTCATAGGTTTCTTTTTCTTTAAATAAGTTTCGAAATGTTCTGATACGTGGAACTTTTCCGATTAACTTTAATGATAGCCGGAATAGCTGCTAAGAATTAAAAAAGAAGAAACAAATACTACAAGAGATTTATAAGATTGGCTTTGATGTATTATATTTATTAAACAAAGTATTATCGTTTAATTGATTTGTCAAAATTTTAAAGTTCTCAACATCAAGTTTATGAACTTAGGTAAATCACTAATACCAAAGTTAAAACTACAAATCCAGTAAATCCTTCACCCACCTTTAACAACTTCAAATATTTCCCCTCACCGCCCACACACAGTGCTACCGTATTCCCTTCAATCTTTTGTACGCTGCGATTAAATGGTAAGTAAAACGATACTCATTTACCCGTTGCCGCCCTAATTGAGCGCGAGAGTGCAACTTATGCGAGACAAAGGTGGGGCAACAATCCACTCAAACACTTCAACTTTGCCTGAGTGTGCTTAGCCTGCTTTGAAAAGGTTGGATGTTCTCACTCACACACATACATATGAACGTTAATGTGTTGGGGCCAGCGATTAGGTGTTGAGGACGTTCATTGTGTGCGCATACCCCGGATGACATGTTGGTGTTGTGTTGTTATTGTTTTTTGTATGTTACGAATTGCGGTGTGTGTATTTTGTGCACAAACTCAAGTGTTTGGCATGCCACATAATGACTGTTTAGCAAAGTCGGTGTCTCCACACTAATAGCTGCTATGAGTACTACTCCTCTTTTCTTTTTTATTTTTTTTTGCCTTATTATTTGTACGCTTTTCTTTTTTACTATATATTATTTGAAGTTCAAGGGGATGGAAAAGGTTTGTGAAATCTTTTAAAGCATATTTTTATATTTGTTATGGTATGTTTGGAGTATATACTTATATTTACAGTATACAGAAGTCACATTATATTACCAGCATTCGTACGTGAGCAGTACAAAAAGTTTCAATTACGCATATGGGGTGGTCCATATAGTGGTTGAGTTCTTTGACAAACCTTAGTCAGAGATGGACTGTCGACCAATATTGGTAATGTGGGAAGACCAGTTGTCCTCCACAAGTCAATGCTTTGTGCGATATTTATGATTACTATAAGAGATTGATGGCTCTCAAAGCATTCGAGAGAGACATTACATGTAAAAATAAAGATGGATTATATTTATTATGCTTCGGCACCGGCATATAGTGTAAGATAAATATTGTGAAGAGCATTAAAATTAGCGGTTTTCTGAATAGGAAGTCACGGGCTTCGAAAGCAGTTGGAGAGTTGTGATACGGTACGTTAGGGATGAATTTGGCTCCAATATCATTTCATTACTATAAATATTTAATAAAAAAGTAAGACCACTGGCGTTCTTAATTACTTCCTATGATCTCGTAAAACTCATTGAGGATGCACGCAAAGGAGCTCTATCAAGGTGTCTACTTTTCATTTTATGAACTCAGTATAGATTTTAAAATATCTGGCAACACTCAACTGATCGAGCTCTTGGTACGAATTTCACCGCTGGAAGATAAAAATAAAGTTGACGTCTTTCGGTGTGTACTCCTTCCCACGATAATTTTTTGGCTTAGCCTTCCCGAAGAGTTACCAAGCAGGAACCTCGTGGCTTCAAAATTTGTGACGGCATATTATTAGTGTAACCTCATATCTGGATTTGGATGTCTACTAAATGAATGCGAAAAAGGACTTTCAAACTCTTTTCCGTAGTTACTTTCACCGACAAGAATAATATTTACTAAGTACGTGAACTGATTTTGCTCCAGTGAGTTAATATTACTATTTTTATTCACTGCTGTCCTCCAGAAAAATACACAGACTAAAAGTCACAAAGATAGTGCCAAAAACTTTTGACAAGACTTTGTAAGAAAAGTCCCCATATGACGAGCTACCCGTAAGCCAAGCAAGCCAGTCAAAAGTTCATTCCATCAGCACTAGACATTATTTCGTATAAAACAATGACTCACCGAAAGTGAATTTGGTTAATTTCTGAAAAATAATCAACATAAACCACCCTGTTTAGACATAAGTATATATACAACCACAGATTGCCAGGTTAGCGTAATGTGATAGACATAATCGAAAAGTTAATTAATTAGGTCACCACATACACTTTATTCACCCTTTAATGAGCAACTTTGTTCAATTTCTTTACCTTTTTTCAATAAACTCTCCTCCCTTCAACGCTTGGCATTGTGGAGAGAGCACCACACTCGAACCACATATCAGAATGTCTCCAATGTGAATGCTGCAATTTATTTTCTGGCTTCTATTCTAGACAAACAAAAATATACTAAACATTCTTTATTCACCAATTGTACGGTTTTTTTCTCATTGCAGTGGTCAAAACGGTGGAGGGTGAGCGGCTCGTGCTGACGAATGTGCATCGCACCGATATGGGCGGTTATTTGTGTATCGCCTCGAATGGTGTACCGCCGTCCGTGAGTAAGCGCTTCGACGTGCATATCAATTGTAAGTACCAAAATAATAATAGCAACAACAGCAAACACAAAAAAAACATTAGTAATTACATTTGTACAGTTACATTGTAAGTGGAATGCATTTATCCTAATTTTAGTATACATGCCCATTTGTCTTCGTACTTATTTGTAGTTGAAATTGAGTTTCGTTTTCAATTAAATCTGCCATTTGAAGGCCACAACGCAACTTTTTTTCTGTATACAATCGGAAGCCAAAGAAACCAGATGATAAAAAAAATCTATAAACGAAAGGAAAGTCTAAAACTTAGAAAACATCATTAAAAATGGCTTAGGGGTGAAATGATATTGACAGTGTAGCCGTGACCCATATAATATCTAAGCAATTATCGTCAATTGCATAGGCAAGAGTTCAAGGCGCCCGGCTCATATGCCTATTTATGCATATAGGTTAGGTTTAGGTTAAGTTAATAATGCTTGCGGACAAAGATTCTTATTTAAATTTCTAAAGCATGAAATCTTGCTATACCATACTTATAATGCAATTCCTCGGAAAGCTTCAGCAATATGGCTCCGTATCACCAAAGTTTCGTACTTTGTGAATGAGGAGAATACATAAAACAAGTGCAACTAGAGTTCATACTTCCACGAAGACAAGCGAGAGGAATCCCAATGGTTCAGTGGTTCAATATTTAAGTTCTAGTCAACATTATATGCCGGCGAAAGCTGGCTTCTGCTGGTAAATACAATTGTGTTAGCCACAGACAGAGTTGATTTAATGCTTATTTGTTATTAGTTTGCCACGGAATCTGTAACACTGAGAAGGAAACGTCAATGACATTTTAAATATATAATATATGTACATATAAATGGTCAGCGTGACAAGCTGAGCCGATTTAGCCACGTCCGCCTGTATTTATGCGATTTAGTCCCTTTGGTTTTAAGACATCGATTTAAAATTTTACACACGTTTTTTTTGCTCCTCCATAAGCTGGTCATTTGTTGGAACCGCCGATATCGGACTACTATAGCATATAGCTGACATACAAACTGATCGATCAAACTCAAGTTCCAGTAAGAAAACTTGAACATGTGAAGGATATTATAGCTTCGGAGCAGGCGAAGTTAAAGTGTTTTCTTGTGTTTTATTTTTTTTTAGATATTCTTTCGACTTTTGTCCCAGTTCTGTCCTGACTAATTTATTGTGCTGATAAATAGTATGTGCAATTGCAACAGATGTCGTTAAAAATTTGAACGAATCTACGACATTCTTACGTCGGTTTTCAGTTTTGTTCATCGGTTGGATAGATGACTATGAGCAGAAAATTCTTTTAACTAACAATGGGGCGTTTTCTTACTCAAATAGAGTACAAACTGTATTGCAAAGGTTCAGTAACCAGTCAAAACCTATTCTTCTATTCAACTTTAGAAACTTACGTACAATGTTGCCCGTCGAATACTACCCTAAATATCCTTCCAAATATCCTTCCAAATTTCCGTAAAATTGTCGTACATGTGTATTAATTCCATGTTTACAAGCCTGGTTTAACGTAGAGAAATAAATTTAAAGTTTTAGTTTTCGCTATTTAACTACACGCTGAAATGTAGGCAACTTTTTTACCCGTCATTTTTACACTGAGTTTAGAAACTTGAAATATGTTATAAGCTGAAAAGAAAATGTGTTTAGTCACGAGCTTAGAACTGCCACAATAAAAAATTTGATTCATATATTTTTTAAATCTCCCATATAAATGGTTAGTCAGGTAATTCTTAAGTATTTTGTGTCAAACGTAAGAACTGTTGTTCTTATCGGCTTATGTCACTAAAATCGAATCGCGTTCATACTTTAATACCTTTGTTTACTATACAACATTTGTTTTCCCTCATCTTCCAACTTTACTCTGACGTGCCACTTCAATTAATTGATAAATTTAAACTGAAGAGCATGCACGTTCAGCCTTTAGACCATCCCTTAGTTGAATATTTTCACGAATGAGATTAAAAGTAAGGTCCTAAGGTCGGTTTATGCAATTTTAAACTTTAAATATATTTCCCTGGACTCTTACCAATACATATGCCATCTTTTTTATGGCAGAAAAATGCTTTCAAAAAAGTGTTACTCCAAACAGTAGTCCTTAAAATAAATAAGTACATAAAAATTAGCACAATTCAACTTTTAACATTATTTGTACATACATACTCACATACACACCCACCTGTCAAGCAATCACTTGACGATGACAACATCACAGCACAAATATACAATTTGTTTGAAATAGTTGCGATGCTTAAAGTCAGCTTTAACTCGGGCATTCATAAAATTAACAAAACAACTTTGCGGTTTTCTCTATGGTTACACACCCACATACAGGCATATGGGTATTCCAGTTTTTTCGTATGTATGTATTTTTGTATATACATTTAGCATAAGCCTGCAAATGCCCACACATATACTCTTAGCTATGCACAAATGCACACGCCGACCACATCAACCATTTATATGTTGGCCTCAAAGCTTTTTTTTTTATTTTATGCCTTCCCACAAACTCACTCCAAGTATCCAAGATACAAGCGGTTGGGGTAAAGCACTATGCTGCTATTGTTTTCTGCACAGCAGCCAACGGGTAATGACCTGGACCGACAAATAAATCTAGAAATGTTTTTAAAAATAGTTTAGTACGCAAATTCGAAGGGGTTTTCTTTGTATGTACATATGTACGTGTGTACGCAAATATATATTTACAAATATACATACGTATGTACTTACTAAATACGTTATATGTATGCATATGTTTTAGTCTGAATTTCGTTAAACATTTTCGTTTTACTTTCACGAAAGTTTATATTTGATTGCTGGCCAGCTGGTTTGATACTCTGGCAAGCCAAAGAACGTGGTTGTGTATGTGGGTCTGTGGCGTTGGTGAGGAAAGTCTGTCTGTTAACAATTTGGTGCGAATACTAAACTTCGACGACTCTGTACGAAGTTTATTCCAAAAAGGTTATTCCAAATTCACAGTAGACCTTTCCTAATGCAAAAAAAATCCACATTCGTGGTATAATTAAAAAAAAAAATTAAAAAACGTTAACTTCGGCTGCACCGAAGCTATACTACCCTTCACAAGTGCATTTCTTATAGCATAAAAGAGTGCAAAAAGATCCTTATCTTAATTTTGATGTTTTTCATACAAGTACAAGGAATATGCTTTGATCGATCAGTCTGTATGGCAGAAAACTCGTATATGGTAGTAAAGTCAAAATGTCAAGAGATCTCAATTTAGAACATCTGCGATTCCTACGAACACGAAAGCCATTAAGTTTTCTTACAGTTGTTGGCAAGAGTAACATCTGATACAAAACATACTTATAAAAGAATTCAATATTCATTATTCGACAAAAGGGTAAAAGGACTACAATCATGTTTGGAATTTTACTAAATTTATTGCATTATATGTTATTATGTTTTTATATGATCCGATCATGATCAATTGACTTGGGATAGCATATCATAAAGGCGCTATTTGTGCAAAATTTAATACTAATATATTCATTGGTGCTTGATCTGTATGCTGGAAAATGAAAGAAAGAGATGGAATTTAAAGTTGTGTTACATGGGAAGTAGGCGTGGTTGTGGTCCGATTTCGCGCCGTAACAGAGGAATGTCAAGATAATGTTGAATACCGAATTGGGTTAAAATTGCTTCAGTAGGTACTGAGAAATAGGATTTTACCTAAAATAGTGCTCTCTCATGGGTGTACATTTATTTAGTAAGTTATCGCACTTGTAGTGGAGAAGAAGATGCTGAAAAGATATGCCCTCAGCTAATTTGGTTTATTTAACTTTAACGGTTTGGGAGATGCGTATATTAAACCTGTTAAGGGCGGATCTACTCCCACTTTTTAAAAATGTTTCAAACCACAGATGCTCCTATCTAATGCGATTCGTTGTACTAAAAATATTATGATGTAATACTGTGGAGCTTAGTTATGGTACTTCAAAGGTTTTCGTTTAATTGCTTTTAGTGGGCGTGATAGTGGTCCGATTGCGCTCATTTAAAAGACCGACCTCCCTTGAATGCCAAGGTGGTATGGTTTTTGCAAGTTTCATTAAAATGTCTCAATTTTTAATCGATTTGTCGCTTGCACTGACGCACGGATGGAGAGACAGTCATTCGCAATTCAACTCGTCTCACCATTCTGATCATTTATATGCGTGTATATAAGCCTATATCTAACTCGATTAGTTTTAGGTGATACGAACAGCCGTTAGGTGAACAAAACTATTATACTCTGTAGCAACAGGTTGCGAGAGTATAAAAACGATCTGTTTCATTCATCCCCTAATGGTTATTTACATTTTTCTGCTCAACCTGACAGTTGCATAATTAAAATAATATTGTCGAGTTTTTCGTAAGGTTTAATTACCAATGCAATTCCAGAGCTACTAAAAGATATCCTATATATCTGTCTAAAAATTTTGCCTTTTTTACTTTGGGATAACTGATAATAAACTATCGTTAAGCTCAGAAAGACTTGAAAGTAGCCAGTGGTAAGGAAAACATTTTTTACCAATACTTTGGAGGAGGGTACAGGAAACATCAAAATATGCAAAGGTATAGATCCTTAATCCTGATCAAAGTCTCAAAATATAAAACTCATATCAAGTTGTGTTCAGTTCTATTCAGCAGATTTTAATTGTTTTGAAATAAATATTTCTGCAGTGAGAAATTGTCTTATGGAAGGTTTATAAAACGAGTTGACTGCGGGTGAGCGGTCTTCCCGTCAAAGAATTGAACAGAGTTTATATATAACTATAAATAATTAATTAAAAAATAATTCATCTCTAGAGCCAAATGGATTTACACATAAGTGCATACATATACATATATAGATTTGGACCCCATCTGACCACTTATTTGCATATACTCGAGGCATTGTTGGGTTAATGGGCTGAGCTCATCTAAGTAAATAAGCGTAGGGCCTACATTTTACGAGCATACATGAATTTAGTTCCGAATAGGTATGTACATATGTGGGG